CCTTTCTTTCTTTTTCAAAAGTTTAATCATATGTGTCTTGATAAGCATCTCTTTGCATTTATCCTGTTAGGGATTCACTTGACTTCTTGAATACATGTTTTTCTCTTGCCAACTTTGGATAATTTTCAATTATTACTTCTGCAAGTATTTTTTTTAAAGATTTATTTATTTGTGCATACAGAACTGGAGTGCAGACCAGAGGCTCAGGGGTGGTGAGAGGCTTCACCAGAGACAGAGTGGGGAGCAGAACAGGCAGATCGACGAAGTACACTGCTGAGGGGAGCAGCAGGCGGGTCAGGAGAGGTCTGCCACGCCATGTGGTCATCTCCGGGGCAGGCGGGGATCAAACTCATGCAGAAGTGGCTTTTAGCTTCTCAGTGCTGTGCTTTAACCGGCAGTGCCACCAGGGAGGGCCTCTGCAAGTATTTTTTTGAGTATTTCTTTCCTTTTATCCTTTCCTTCAAGAACTCAAATTACAAGTGTATTAGATTCTTTTGTTGTAGTTCACAGATTTCTGAAGCTCTGTGCATTTTTTGGGGGGGGTCTGTTTTCTATATTTAGACTATTTCATTACTGTTGTTTAAACTAGAAAACCTGTATTGGGCTGTCCTCTAATTCTCTGATCTTTCCTCTGCCCTTCATTTTCCTGTCAAGCCTATCAACTGAGCCTTTTCATTTTGTGTTTATTTAGTTTTGATTCTTCTTACAGTGTCTTTGTTTTCTGAAGTTTCCTATGTTTTCATTTGCTGCAATCATGTTTGTCACTGCCCCTTGGAGCATTCTTATTACAATTACTTCATGATATATCAGTTGTCTTTTGTCATCAGATAATTCTGGTCTTCAAATGAAATATAGACATGTTCGTATTATATTATTAGACTTGAAGTATTTAAACCTTTTGTTTTAACTGACTTTTTATATTACTGCAGGGCAAAAAAGGTGATTTTTCTATGGTATTTGTAAGTCATCACTTTGTCACTGCCAAATGTAGTGAAAAGTACAAGTTTCCCATTTAGTCTCTATTGACACAAGTCTTCATCACTGCTAGGTGTAGACTTCCTAATTGGGCTCTTCTGGACATTCTCTGGAGACAGCCTTTTTTCCTACTAAACGATAGTGAAGGATATTATTTTTCAACAGACCTCTTCTGACAAAATCTAATGTGTCAGGGAAACAGCACCTCATTACTGCTGGGTAGAGATGGAAATCCAGGTTCTTCATTGATACAGTGTAGGAGTAGGGGGGTAGAGAAGCCTCACAGCCATCTAGGAGGGAAGAAGTCCCAGCTCTCTAGTTTCCTCTAATAAGCACTCTGACAGTGGTGTTGGGACACTTCATTACAGCTTCATGAGACTTTTTGGTCTGGGTAGGGTGTAGTATCACAGCTTTTCTTTGGTATCTAGCTAAGGTAGGGCAGATAGGTGAAAGTCTTCCATTTATATTTATCTGTATCTTAAAGACTAGATCATTTAGCTAGAGAGAGCAGGTGCTTGTCAGGACTTGTATTTCTGTGCCTGTTAACTTTCACACATCACTGGTTTCCTTAGCATCCAGTTTTAGATAGATGAGATAACCAGAAAACCTAAGGAACCTAACACTCTCCTTCCAGATGCTCAGAATTACCGAGTCATCTTTCCTCATCTCTATCTTTTGGAGTCTCTTTGTACTGCTTTATATACAATGTCCAGGGTGTCTGGTTACATTTGGTGGGAGAAATATGGAAAAGTATTACCAACTTATCTTCCTGAAAGCAAAAGTCCTTTTAAATTTCATTTGGTAAGTTGTATCATTCATCTCTAAGGTCAATGGCAAAGAAAATAATACTGTATTAATCCCTATGAATGTTAAACTAAAGCAACTAAAAACAAGTAATGGTTAAATTTTTTAGAAGCCATGGGGTTTTACTTGGCCTCAACTTCAATGTGAACCAAAATTGTGAATACATCAAAATGTATTCTTAAGTTCTAACTAGTACAGAAGTTAAGGATATCTGAAGCACTTTCCTCAGCTGAGTATAAGACTTTAAAAGCAATACTAGCAAACTATAAACCAGAATATTAACTAAGATTATATTGCTTCCAAAGAATGAAGAACTAGGGTTATTTTATGTACAAAAAGGGAAAAGGGTAACTGAGACAAAATGGCTATATAATAGTAATCCTCTAATGTTTATTAGCTGACAATTGAAAAAAAAGTGACCAAAAAATAGACTGGGTTGCTTCATCTACCTAAGAAATTTCTAATTATTTGAACTGTCCCCAAATATAATGGACTGCCTATGTAAATATCCAGGTAACAGAAGTATTAAAGGACTATATATCCACTAGTTAGAAAGATTGTTGAGTGGGCTGCTTCAGCAGAAGAGTGCTGAGAGCAGTGATTTTGATTTATTGTCCATGGTGGTATCTGAAGTGATGCTGGGAGTTTCTGGGTAGAATGTGATCACTGCTGAGCTGGCAAAATGACTGATTTCCCCACCCTGCTTTAATAAGACATTCCATTTATGTATCCAGCAGCTTTGGTGGTTGTTATTAGGGGTGGTTAGGATAGGGTGGAGAAAGGAAAGTTCAATAGAACTTTAAAAAGTTCAAAATTTACTGAACTGAATTAATAGTTCTTTGAAATTTCTGATTGTTCACAGAGTTTTCTGTGATTAATTCCTAATTCTCAGCTAATATTCAAAACAGACAATCATTAACTGCAAACAACATTAACATATGTGATTTTTTAAAAGCCTCTTTTTCTTTGATAATGAGGCTTTTGGACTGAACTAACTAGGTAACTTTCAGTTCTCCGCTTCACCTATGTCAGTTTAACCTATACTATGCCTGAGGACAGTGTATCTATTATCTTTTCCTGAAATACTTTACTATTTAAACTAAATACAATTTTATTTCAATAATTAAAAATGAGCTGGAGAGGCCCTCCCTGGTGGCGCAGCGGGTTAAAGCACAGCACTGAGAATCTAAAAGCCACTTCTGCAAGAGTTCACCTGCCCCGAAGGTGACCACATGGTGTGGCAGACCTCTCCTGACCCGCCCGCTGCTCCCCTCAGCAGTGTACTTCCTCGATCTGCCTGTTCTGCTCCCCACTCTGTCTCTGGTGAAGCCTCTCACCACCCCTGAGCCTCTGGCCTGTGCCCCAGTTCTGTATGCACAAATAAATAAATCTTTAAAAAAAAATAAGCTGGAGAAAAGTAAATCTTATGAAATTATGAAGTCATACACTTTAATCTGTTCTTACATAATGAAAAGCATAAGAAAAATTGTTACATAATAAAATTTTAAGTCAACAGTTTAATATTAAATTAAGTTCTCCAAAAGTAAAAGAAATTTGCTATAAATTAGACTATCAAAAAACAGAGGTATTACTAATCACAGTCAGTATAGTACCCGACTATACAATTTTTAAAACATTCTTTGAATTATTAGTATTACCTAGTTTAAAAATAACACAAATCTCATTACATCATCTTTCTTATTATGCCAGTGAAATTTTTATCCATAACTCAGCTAAACATTCTTTTTTTTTTTTCATGTGGTAATTCACTGACTCCTCAGGAAAAACACCTATAGAGGTGATTAAGAAGAAATTCTAATGCCTATGACGCATATTTTGCTGGAGTATGACTCCAGTCATGCAGGAGGTAACCACTTACATAGCAGCAAGTCTGTCTAGTCACTCAGAATGAATATTTCAAGTTCTCTGTTAATAGTTGTAATATGCTAAGTGGTAACCCCAATCAAGAGAACTGAGGTCATGATTTAAAAAAGACTCATGAAAATAAAGGACATCTAGTATTAGTATATCACATGTATTTTTCTAGTTATGTGCTATTTATCAATTTACATATGAAATTTTAAAATACAATTAACATACAACCAGTAGCCCTGAAAATATCCCAAATACTTGTATATCCTTTGCTTTTATAAAAGCTTATTTTCTTTTAAGAGGTAGCAAGGCAGAAAATTTAGAAAAACAAAAATAAGGAAAAAATTACCCTTTTAAAATGTAAAATAACCAAGTTTTAACAGTAAGGCAAACATAACTATGTATTCATTTTAAAGTGCAAAGGATTAAATCAATTGAAATTTAGTTTCACGATGTAATAGAATCCAACCTTTTTTATAGACCCATAAGAATGTTCAACTAAGACATTTATATAGACTTTTGATATATTCAATATCAAAAAGTACAAAACAGAATAAACTTTCTGATAAAATCTTAGATTCTTAACAAATCATATTACCCAAGCAGATTACTACTGATTTGAAACTGTACTATTAAGGTTATAACGATAATGAAAATTTAAGTGAAATTATTTGATAATCTGGCTTTCTTTGGGAAGACTAGATAATGTAATATGTGGTATGATTAATATTTATTATTACTAAGAGTTAACTATATAACATTTCTTGATGCTATCAGCCATATTGAACAGATAATATTTTTATTTAAAAATATTTTATAAAAAAATATTTTATATCTGGGAGATCTTGGTTTACATCATCCCCTTAAAAACATTTTAAAGTATTCATGCTTTTGATATAAATATAACTACTCATTTAAGAAAACTGAAGTTGAGAATATCTTTTAACATATTTTCTGTTAAAAAGTTGTCAGAGATTATAGCTTAATGAAGGAGAGATTAAGTAACAAATAATGTGTTGCTATTTCTTTATAAATTGATTAAAGTACTACATAGTAAGGTTAGATATCTTTTAATTTAAGCTTTTAGTTTCCATCACTTAATGGAAGTGGCCCTGTTCCTTGTATGGAAAACTAATACACTTGAAAATATTTTTAATGCACCCTGGAAATAGATCCAATCAGAGTATAGAAAATCTTGTCAGAAACACAGTCCAAAATATAAAATATTCTAAAATCAGTTTTGTCTCTTTAGATGATATCTAAATTGAACCTGACTATATAGTTTCTAAAATACCGAATATATTAAAAACAACTATCAAGATAATAAAAAAATATATTACTGTTGTTACCTTTTAGCCGGTGACTTAGGATCTGTTCCAAAATAGCAGCAAAATTGTTAAACTCAGGAGAAGAATCATCAATTGTCTCAAAGCAAGACCGATCAATCAGGGTCTTCACAGAAAACCTATGAAAAAAGGGATATTACAATAGCTTTTAAACGGAGTTGATTCATTCACCCAAGTAAGAAAAATGAGAGGTGGGCAATTTGAGTATTACAGAAACACTGTAAAAAAAAAAAGATTACATATTCTGAAAATTCAATTTATTCAGAATATGTAATTTATTCTCTGCAAACAGAAAATTTTACAGAATATCAGGATTTCCACTTACATATTTACCATTATCTACTGACCAAGTGAAGATTTAGGAATAGTTCACGATCTTCATAACCACTAAAATCAGAATAAAAAAGACCTATGTTATTAACTACAAAATATTAAAAGTCATAATTCTAACTGCAAGAAACAAGTGTCAGACCCAAATGCTTTTAAGAGTTTTGGAGCATAAAATAAGATGTGAGAAAAAAAAAGTAAGATGTGAGTATTTAGAATGTACATATACAAAGTTTTTATGAGCTATAAAAGAAATGAATGATAGTTGCTAAATAATTAGAAATTTAAACTGAAGAAGATAAAGGAATACAAACTGTTTTCTTAGGTTTTAGGATTGTTGGTTATGCTACTGAAAGAAGAGAGAAAGCAAAGGCAGTGAGTATAACGGGAAATATAGAAAGATTTTTTTATGAATTGTCTATCAGTATTTATCATAATAGAAATTAAACAAAAAATTTAAATACAAGCAGTCCTCATTTTGCAGAATAGCCAGAATAAAAATTATTACAAGTTAAAAATATGCAATGTGACCTTACTAATGGAAAGAATTACAATTATTCTGTGACTTTCAAATTTCTGTCAAAACATTAGAAACTCATACAGTTATGAGGTATAGGTAAATGGAAATGGGGGGAGCACTCTCTAGTACACACTGAAAATTGACAAAGTACCTTCTTTGGAAAACTCTTATCAAAAGTGCTCTCATCGGAGCTTGCCTTCTCATTATGTAACTTAATTTAAGATTGAGCATATTCCCTATGCTTTGGTACACTGTCATAGTGCTATATTTGGATCAGTTTCCAACATTGTATCCTGTGAAGTGGTTGACAGCATCACTTCTGGGACATTTTCATCCTCTTTGTTACAAACACCTTGCTCCTTTATGTCAATACTTGTTTTTACTAAGTTCCTCTAACTGCATATCCTATGATCAGCTATTTCTTTTGTTGTTCCTTTTACTTTCCATATAATTTTTACTTCCATTGCTATTACTTTCTGTTTCTTTGACATACTTTTCATCTTTTTTGGACAATTCAATCTATCTATTATCCATCATAGCAAAACATATATGTTTATTACCAGGAGCCAAGTTGGCAGTACAACTATAGGCTTTGTTTTCTGTGCATGTGCATAATATGTGCAATATGCATAATTGATGCATATTGACCGATCCTCGACAGACTGAAAAAAGAGATGTGACTAATCACTAATTATGATGTACATTTGTTACACAGTAATTTGTGAACTAAGGAGGTACCAGAAAAATTTTGTTTCATACAGTTAACTCACAGTTAATATATGGCAATATAATTGGAACCATGCTGTTGTAGGATTGGTTATTTACTTAAACTCTAGTACTGAAATGACTATATATTATATCTTGAATACTATGTTCTACATACTGGAAATGTGCAATGTGGGGCTGTCTTATTAATTATAAGCAAAATTAATCTGCTATATGTGCACATAAATAATATTTTACTAAAAACAGATTTTCCTAAGCAACAAAAAATGGGTAGGCATAGCATTATTTTACACCACTGGAAATATCTTCAATGTTGTGTTTCATAGAATAACCCAGATTCTCACATCTGCTTCTGCATTCAATCTATTTTATTATTATAAACCACATAGACTCTAGAAAATTGCACTGTCCACATTAGAAGGGAACAAAAATGGCAAAATATGTCTTAAATTATTTTAAAAATTATTCTGATATTTCAGATTTTTTAAAGAGTCTGCGTTTAAGAGTACACTTTGAAAACCATTATCCTAAGACATATTTTGATTATAATGAAAATTAACTTTTACTCTATACAAAAAGAGTGGTAGTAGTTATATGTCCTTGAGAGAAGTGAGGAAATAATTATTCAAGTAATTTTCTGGCTTTTCTGGTCAGACAAATAAACTAAGCTTAGAAAAAGTACATGAGAAATTAATGTTCAACTACATATACTATCTATGACTGCATTGGAATTCAAAGTTCGAAGACATTATTCAAAAGAAAGGAAGTAACACTGAAGAAGTTATTTAAAGGACAGTCAAAACATTAGATAAATATGGGATATAATGTATGGGTAAATGGAATAGAAATATATAAAGAAGGTAAGGAAAAACCAGACTAAAAAAAGACTTGAAAAACTCAGTTTTGTGTCCATTTTGTTGACCACAGAAGAAAAATGTTGCCAATCTTCAGCAAACATCTAATAATAATAAAAGCTATAATTTTCTTATTCAGTAAGTGAATGAAAGGGAAGTGCACAGTCTCCACCTCCAACTTTGATCTAAATAGAAGGAAACTTCTGAATATTTGAGTGTTTCTCTCTAACCCTTACTACATAGCAGGGAATAGAAAAATTGATTCTGCAGTCACATTCAAGGTAGGAGTAAGTTATTGCTATAAAATAAATTATGGCATTATTTCAAGAGAGTAATATATACTGGTGAAATGAACTGAAAATTATATCTAAAGATAAAAATATCAAAGTGCTTATTTCATCAAAAGAGCTACATTAGAACCCAAGTTCCACCTGTAATAGCCTGATAAGATTTTAGTCATTATTGTCCTCAACTACTTTGTCAAATGCAATGGGATGAAAAAGCCATGGATAGTAACACGTCTTAGTAACATCAAGAGCCATATACATTATCAGTCAGCAGCCAACAAAGGGAATCTTTTCATCATGCTACCAGTGGGTTATATTCCTTCAGAAGATACTATCTGCATGACAAAAACTTGTGAAGGTGACACTCAGTACTGAATTATATTTTTTTTAAGATTTATTTATTTATGCATATAGAAGTGAGGTACAGGCCAGAGGTGCAGGAGTGGTGAGAGGATTCACCAGAGACAGAGTGGGGAGCAGAACAGGCCTACTAATGAAGTACACTGTTGAGGAGAGCAGCAAGTGGGTCAGGAGAGGTTTGCAGTGCCATGTGGTCACCTCCAGGGCAGGGATTGAACTCATGCAGAAGTGGCTTTAGCTTTTTAGTGTTGTGCTTTAAACCCCTGTGCTATCAGGGAGCGCCTTGAATTACTTTTAACTCAACCTTGGACTAAAAGCTGCAAACATCCCAAACATACTGTTAGACATGATTTCTGAATCTAAGCATGAAGATAAATCAAAGGTGAGAAAATAGTTTAAATAATTACTACTACATCCGGGCTAACAAGGAAGAAAAAAATGGTTCTCAGTAATCATAAGTATAAGTAATTCTTAATGAAGCATAAGTAATGCTTCATTACTTATATTCTATTCTCTTCTTGCCAACACAAAACCCAAATTTCACAATGCAGATTAGTTCAAGGTTCCATGTTTTACTCCAGTTAGCCAAGTCTTCCCACTCAACACTTACTTCTCTAGAATCATGTAGCTAGCTCCATTATACCAGAATAATGAGAAATTTTTCCTCCATAAGACAGTAACTAGCTAGAGCATGCTATAAAAACCAAACTTGTAAAGCATTTCAGTACATCTAAAAAATATCACACAGATGCTGAGTTATTCCTGATAATGATGACATTAATATTAGTCATCTATTTCCTGAAGAGGACTGATCTTAAAATAATGAAATGACAATTTGATGAATGTCTAAAAATACCAACTCAAGTCTGTGTAACAGCTTTTACATAAGAATAGAAATTTACATAAAAGGCTCTTATAATTAAATGTAGAAATTATAAAATTTAAAATGTGTCTTAAAAGACTTTCTTTCCCACATTTAGTGACCAAAAGAAATTTTGTGAGCTTAACAAGAATGATTGGACTAAAACCTTCAAACCTAACAAAGCATCAATTGCTTTTCCCCTTTGACAGATATCAAGGAAAAGGAGGTAGTTACAATCTTAAAATTTTTCATTATGCCCATACCAAATTAATTTTTCCATAGTTTATAAACCGATAACATACTTTGACTACAACAAAGCTAAAAATCAAAAAATGTGACAAATCAAAAATAAAATGATTACTTCATTAAATTTTGATACTCTTAGTTTGAAAGAATTTTTAAAAAGCTTATTTTTAATATTTATCCTGAATTAATAATATACACATATACTCAGGACATTCTAGTAAGAAGTGAATTCCCATCCCTTAATAACAAGCCTTTATATAATCTTAACTACTTACCAAATAAGCTTCAGAAAAAAATGAATTTCACATGAAATAGGTTATCTACATTTGTATTTCCCTTTATGTGGAATTACATCTGAAGATAATTAAAATACAAAAATCAATTAGAATAATCACATTTCAAGACTAAAAGTTAGATAGTAACTTTTTGTTTAAAGATTTATTTATTTATACATACAGAACTGGGTTGTAGGACAGAGGTGCTGGGAATGAGAGGATTCACCAGGGACAGTAGAGAACAAAAAAGGCAGATCAACTGAAATACACTGCTGAGGAGAGCAGCAGGCAGGTAAGGAGAGGTCTGCCATGCCATGTAGATCACCTCCCTGGCTGGAGATCAAACTCATACTGCAATGGTGGCAATAGCTTCATAGTGCTGTGATTTAACCTTTTGCGCCACCAGGGAGAGCCCAAGGATAGTAACTTTAATAGAATTTAATCACCAAAGTTCTGAGATAAAAGTGCTTTCTATTATTTCTATACCTTACATTATTGCTAATAGACTTTATTAAAGAGATGGGACAACTACCCTCTATCATTAATATAATACCCATCATCAATCATCAGCAAAGGATAGTTATCAAGATATAAGCTATGACCTCCTTTGTGGCCTAAAGGTTAAGTCTCAGGGCTGTTATCACGACTTAGCTGAGTCAGAT